AAAAAATAGCATAATAGTGGTACCAGAGGAGATCTGGATGACTAGTAACAAACGTGGGATGGAAATTTCACTGTTCACTGTTTTGTACCTTTTGAATTCGAAACATCTGAATCAACTACTTAAAAAAAAATGTGCATTTATTTATTTATGGGAACACTAGGTAATGAGTTAAGCTCAAGATTCAAAATAGGGCCAGCCTATGAGATCCCACATAAAAACTGCAGTAAAAGGAAAGAAAATGCCATGCTCTGAAGCTTCTAAACGTTCATTCTCCCTAAGGAAGAAATACACAAAAAGCGTGGCCAATCAACAATATTGACCCAAGAGGTCTTTTTTGTTTTTCTGGATCTTGAACTTCTGGGATGCACAAACTATTTTTTTGTTGTTGTTGGGTGGGGGAGAAATCACAGTATTTGATTTTTAAAGTTAAGACTAAGGAGAAAAATAAGTCATGAACATAGACTAGCATTAAATATCTCTGTGGTTTTTTTTTATGACATTTGTAATCATTATTACAAATCAGTATTTGAAATTAATGAAGTATACTTACACCAATACACTGATCCACAAGAAAAATATCTAATACTTCAGCTAAGCTTTGAGGTAACACTCAATACAAAAGGTTCCAACAAAAGGAGATGCATAGGCATGTAATAGCTTCACATAACAAAAAACAATTCTATAGATCATTTATATGATGCCTTTATTTCTGAATAAGACATCTGAATTATAGACATTTTGCAATTTCCTACTAGTAATGATACTGAAATTATTAGGATGGACACCGGCAACTTGTCCATCCTCTGAAATAGTTGTTCAAGAAGTTAAATATAGTTATCATATGACCTAGCAATTTCACTCCCAGGTATATACCAGAAACTAAAAAGGTATGTCCACACAAAAACACGCACACAGATGTTCATGGCCACGTTATTCGTAATAGCCAAAAACAACCCAAATGTTCAACTGATGATAAACAAAATGTGGTATATTTGTACAGTGGAACATCATTCAGCCATAAAAAGAAATGAAGTACTATTACATACTAGAGCATGAAAGAATACTGGAAACAATGAAAAAAGCCAGACACAAAAGGCCACATATTTTATGATTCCATTTATGCAAAATGTCCAGACCAGGCAAGTCTACAGAGACAGACAGTAGATTAGTGGTTGCTTAGTGCTGGAGAGAGGAAGTTGAGAAAGTGGGGGAGGAATGGGGAGTGACTGCTAACAGGGGCAGAGTTTTTTTTGTGGTAACAAAAATGTTCTAAAATTGATTGTGGTGATGGTTGCTAAACTCTGAACATAATAAATACCACTGAATTGAACACTTGAAATGGGTAAATTGTCTGATACATGAATTATATTTTAACAAAGCTGTTTTTGAAAAAAATTCTTGCTTCCCATAACTTGTATCTTTTCCAAGTTACTAAACCCAATGGCCTTTTCTTAATCTGCTTGCAACCTTTTGATCCTCTAGATCAGCAGTCCCCAACTTACCTTTTTGGCGCCAGGGACCAGTTTCATGGAAAACAATCTTTCCACGGACAGGGATTGGGAGGATGGTTTAGGGATGATTCAAGGGCATTACATTCATTGTGCAGTCAAACCCCTTTGCTAATGATAATCTGTATTTGCAGCTGTTCCCCAGCGCTAGCACCACTGCCTCAGCTCCACCTCAGATCATCAGGCATTAGATTCTCATAAGGACCGCTCAACCTAGATGCCCTCAGACGCGCATGCGCAGTTTATAGTAGCATTCACGCTCCTATGAGAACCTAATGCTCCCGCTGATGTGACAGGAGGCACAGCTTACTTGGTGATGCAAGCAGTGGAGAGGGGCTGTAAATACAGATAATGCCACTGCTCACCTCCTGCTGTGCCACCAGTTCCTAACAGGCCATGGACCAGTACCGGTCTACAGCCTGGGCGTTGGGGACAGCAGCTCTAGATCACCTGCTCCCCTTGGCAAACATGCCAATCTACTCTCCAATCCTTTCATGGCTTCTTGACTCCATTCTCAGATGTCTTCTTTAGCAACTTCATCTACTGCTAATTTCTCAAAACTATCCTCTCAGCAAATTAGATGATTCCTAATTCTATCTTCTGTCTTGAGCTCTAGCCACAAGTTTTTTGGACAGCTCAATCTGGATCCTCCTTGCTCTTAGCCTACCTACAACAAGCTCATCTTTCCCCCAAAATCTAGTTCTTTCCACATTACTCCTTTTTCTTAATAGTGCTACTCTTTTCTAACTCATCTTGGAGACATTTTG